GGAGGAAAACGAATATTCTGACATATTTGTTTTTATTTTATTCCCTGAGAAAAAAGCCCACCATATGGCAGCATCCAGGAACAGATGGCGATTGCCCACTTTCTGAAAGCACAAGCGTCTACCACCGCAATTTAAGGAGCCGCTCAAGCAAGAGAATGCCACAGACTGGCATTTTTCCACAAACTGCTATTGTTATGGACCTGAGGGGTAACTGAAACAATAAGAAAATGCAGAGGAAATGCTTTGGTGTTTGAAAGTTACATTGTAGCTTACAATGACAAGGTACTAAATCTATGGTTCAGCGCTACAAGCACTTTGTTACATTGTTATAAAAATAGCAGAAACAGCTGCTTACTCATAAAAAAGCTGGGGGAAATATTTCAAGAAACAAACTTGTTCCTACAGTTGGTCAATAAAAGATGTCCCAGGATTTTCTTGTGCTGATTTTAAGAATTAATACCAGCAGCAGTAGGACTACAAGACATAACCATCATTGTCCTTGGATAATATTAGGTCTGTATGATGGAGTGGACGAGTGACCTGTGACACACAAAACTTCATTCCTCATGGATACCCTTTGTCAGGGAGGTCAGAGGACACTTCTCTGACACACAGACACATGAAAATAGTTTCAAAAAGTCACCTTGGCAGATGACAATTTAAACCTGACTTTGTCTGTAGCAACACTATCTACGTTTTTTTCTGTTTTATTTTTATGAAAAAGAAAAATGGCATAAAAGGCTTTGGCACATAAAGGCCTTTTGTAACACAACAATAGAAAAGAAGAAAGGGAATGGGTCAGCACTGCTGCCATTAATTTAAACCTATAAAGGTGTTCAGCTGCCTTTGACTTTTTTGTACAAGAGTACGTAGAGACAGAGTTACAAGTGTTCGCACAAGAAAAGACAATTTCAAAGGCTAACCAAGGACAAAGCAGATGAGTTAACCATTGATAGATCCCTAAGTGAAGAGGAACTATTTTGGTTTCATTTAAATCACTTAATATTTTGACTCAACATCTTTATTAGAAAGAGCTGCTTTTAACTTTAAGTCAAACAGTGAGGAGGCATGGACACATTTCAATAATTAGATCATGACAATTTATGCAAATCCTCGGTGTACAAGTTGTTCCACCTAAAATGTCATGTATTTATTTAATCTGGGAATGTAATGCAACCGTATTTAGCATTTCACATTATCAGCTTTGCATTCAATCTGCTTGAGACTGATGCCAACAAAAATTAGAGAATGAACATGAAGCTGGTTAACATGGTTTAAAAACACACTGTAATACTGACACAATTTGAGCATAAAAAGAGGTGATGGAAGTGTAAGCATTAGTCCTGAATGGAAATGCCCTTTTCTTTACAACTCTTTTTATGTTTGTCCTTTGAAGAAGTACATAAAAACATGCACGTAGACACAAATTTTGGGACTATCATCATCCTGGGAAAGCAAATTGATTTGAATGAAGGATTGGAAATGTGATGAAAGTAAAGAAATTAAAATCTCAGCATACTGTCAAAAAGAAACAGTAAATTTGAAAAAAATGTGTAAATAATAAAATACACATGGCATGGATTTTTTTTCTAGGATAACATTCTACATTAGATTGTATAGCTGACGTGGAAATCTACCTGGCTTTTGCATTTTTACAACCAGTGATTCAGTTCATTAACCAATCCTCAAATACTTTTATAGACATGTCATTTATCAAAACCAGTCAATGACAAACAGGGCAGTAATCCTCCCAATCTTTCAGTCAAATTATCATTTAGCCCAGCATTATTCAATAAAACCTATTTTAAAACCCGCTACATACCTTTTGTTTTGCCATTTAAACAGCATTCAGCCAAGCCAGTCAACCATGTAATCAACAAATACATAGTCTAAAAATTTAGCACACAGACAAATCATCCATCTACATACACAAACAACAAGCCTGCCTATAGAAGCCAGGTCAGCCAGTCAACCCCGGGGTCCTATGGTATTAATCAGTCTAGTTTCTGCTGAAAAGCTCAATCTGCAGATGATGGATGAGCCATCATGCTGAGGGAACGGAAGTGACAGGTGACAAAGAAGGACACACACACCTGTATAAATCCACTATCCCTCCTGTCTTGGCTCGATGCTACACCATTGAGACAGCGCAATATAACTGTACACGTGTGTGTGTGTGTGTGTGTGTGTGTGTGTGTGTGTGTGTGTGTGTGTGTGTGTGTG